TCTAATAATTTGAGTTTTATAAATCACTATTTATTTTGTGAGTGTTTTAGTTTTTTCAGATATTCAACCATAAGATGCTATCAAAATGTTTTTATTTATCTCAGCCAGAAGAAAGTAATTGTAATTAAAAGTAATTGTAATATTGCTTCCAAATAACTGCTAAAAATTATTCCTTGCAAAAAAAATTATTTGAGTAGAATTTTTTTGAAAAAAATAAATGCTGAAATTTGGATTTCCTTATATTGCTGATTTGATTCATGATTTGATTCAATTTGTAAATCAAAACCCACTTCAATTCGAGATTCGAAACTTAAAATGTCCATTCGCAGGGCCCTAATATATATATATATATATATATATATATATATATATATATATATATATATATATATATATATATATATATATATATATATATATATATATATATATATATATATATATATATATATTTACAGACCTTGTTTTAAATTAAAAATGCATAACACATTAGCCTATTGTGAGTGTGGCGTCATTAAATTCTCTTTATTTTTTAAAGACATTTTTAAATTACTGCAATAATATTAATTACCGCAAAACAAGTTAAATGTTATTTAATTTCTTTATTATTACTTTTAGGTGAATGTTTATTTTATTTTTTTTATTTTTAATATTAAATAATTAAATTTAATATTACATTTAAAAAAATGTTTGATATTACCAAATTTCTTTTTTTTCTCGACATTTGCATAAGTGAATTAAAATATGTTAAATTTTTGAATTTTTAAATGATTATTTCTTAAATTTCAAATTGTAGCTTTGTAACTACAAATGATTTTTTATTTAAAATAAATTAGAGAGTAACTAATAAATAAAATAAATTTATTTACTTAATTAATTTATTTATATTTATATATGTATATACTATATGCACTGTGTATATGTATGTGTGTGTAAACACACACACATATATTGTCAGTATATACAATATGTATATATATATATATATATATATATATATATATATATATATATATATATATATATATATATATATATATATATATATATATATATATATATATACAATATGTATATATATATATATATATATACAATATGTATATATATATATATATATATATATATATATATATATTATATATATATATATATATATATATATATATACCTAGTTTAGCACTTACGGGGACAGATTTTACAAAAAAACTAACACTTACGCAGGCTTGGACAGGAATGTCTGTAACTGACCACGCTAATATTTTTATTTCTTTACAACTTGACCACGGCTATTTTAATGTTTTAACAATTTGAATGCAATAAAAAAAGTGTTACGTTATAAATATCTTTCAATCGTTGATCTTTTCTAAAGTTTTTTATTTTACGCAAAGGCTTTAAATAAAACCATGAAATTAATTATAGTTATTGTTTACATAAACGCTTGTGTAAATTAATAAAAAACATCTTTTTTTATGTAGGCATTTATTTTTTATTATAAATTTAAAGGTTTGAAACTATTTTCTTATGTTTTCCTAAAATATTTTTTAACCATTATTTTAAGAATTAAATAAGTTTGTGAATAAGTTCAAAAGCTTTTGTGACTATTAACTTTTACACATTTTATGTGAATTACACAAGAATATAAAATAACTTTATTTACTTATATAATCATGTGTTTTGTTGATTTAATGAAAAAGTTTTAAAGCATTTAGTAATGTTCATGCGATTAATTTTAATGATTTAAACTTATGATTTTTTAAAATGTTTTAAATAAACATTTTATTTTTTGTAAACAATTTTTTTTTTTTTTTTTTTTCAATATCATTAGAAATAAATGAGATTAAATCTTTTATAATAATTTTTAAATTTGCTATTCGAAGCGCTTATTAATAAAGTTGTAATGCTCAAATTAAAATTAAATTGAAAAGCTTATTGTATTAAAATTGCATTTTATTTATTAATTTTTTTTTTCTATTTTTACAAATAAAAAAGTTCAAAACCTTTTTTTTAATTAGACTCACTAATTAGAGCATGAAATTAGTAAAAATTATTATTTTAAAAAGACTGTTATTTTTTTAAACAATATTTTTTTTGCAACTTTTTTGACAAAATAAATGTTTATACAATTTAAAAATATTATATAAAACACTTTTTTAATAAATTTAATAAAATTTGTTCTTTTATTAAACCAATCATTAGTAGTAATTTTTTACTTAATTTAAAAACATTTTGCGTAACTTTAATAACGCTTAAAAAGATAAGCTTTAACAACGTTTATTTCATACGTAATTAAAAACTTAACAAAAAGTTTTGATTTGAGTTTAAGTTTTTATTTTCATTTTAGTGCTTATATAATATCTTTTTCGTTATGAATTTCTTTTTTGTTTCTTTTTTCGTTAGGAATTTTTTTTTCGTTAGTTGTTTTTTTTTTTTTTTTTCCTAGTTTAAGTTTAGCTTAGCGTTTCTACATTCAGAACTAGCCTAGCATTTCTACATTCAGAGCATTTCTGAAATTTTTAACTCATCAAAACATATAAACATTGTTTATTAAACAATTGTGGTCAAGTTGTCAAAAAATAAAATCATTTGCATGGTCAGCAATAGCACTTGATTGTACACCATTCCTGTCCAAGCCTGTTTATGGGGACATTAGCGTTATCAGGGACATTTTAGTGTACCTGTTATTTTTTTTTTTATCTCCGTAGGCATGATTTTTTCTAAAAAAAATGTACCCATAAAATTTTTTTATAGGAAATGAAAAGTACATACATCGACTGACAAATAGCCTGACTCGCAAGGGAGTGCTGCATCGACTGAGGGTTTGGTTTGGCCAGGCATCAATGTCAGGCTTAGGGTTAGGGTTACGGCAAGGTTTAAATTTGGTTATTTTATTGTAATTAATCATTTTTATAAATAGATGAAGTTAAAAATGAAATATGATATAAAATAAATAAATAAAAATAACAAAAGTTAATTAAATATATATATATATATATATATATATATATATATATATATATATATATATATATATATATATATATATATATATATATATATGTATGCCAGACAATGACGTTTTCTACACAGATGACTTTAATGAGACACCAGATAATGTTAAATACAGTTTCAAAAAAATATTCCCAAAAGTTGCTTGTATGGCTTGCTATATCACCTAAAGGATTGACAAAACCTTTTTTTCAAAAATCTGGAAATGCGATCAACCAAGGCGTTTATTATGAAATTCTAAATAACAAACTCCTTCCGTTTATTAAAAAAAAATTATAGTGCTGGTGGTTATGTGTTTTACCTGACTTAGCGTCCACTCATTATGCTTCTAAGGTAACTAAATTTAGGCAAGACCAGAATATACATTTTGTCCCAAAATTCATGAATCCAGCAAATTTGCTGGAAGTTTGTCCAATAGAAGATTTTTTGGGAAACTTGAAAATGGAGGTTTACAAGAACAACTGGACAGCAAAAAATCTTGTTGAGTTAGAAAAAAAGATAGTTAGATGCCTTGGCAATATGGACTTAAAGTTTGTACAAAACCATGCTTTATCAGTCAAGAAAAGGCTGATAAAATAGGGAGATCTGCACTCTAATTATTTTTTCAATATTATTTTTCTATAATAGACTTAATTGACAATATTATAATGTATTTAATAGATCTAAATTAAAATTTCTAACATTATTAAATTTCAGTTTAAGTTTGTGCCAAAACTTAGTTATCACCCGTTAGGAAGAGCTACATGTAAATTTGAAAACTTTACATTCCAAGCCTTTTTCAATTCTTTGCATTATTTTATTATGCAAAGAAAACTCAAGATGTTTCTAAAACATTTGTGGTCATTTACAATAATTTTTAAAAAAGTTTAATTACAGCATAAATTTTGTGGTTTGCCTTTAATCACTTGGTAGTTTTTGATTTATTAATTATCCTGCTTTAAACTTAGATTTTTTTTTTACTATTTACATATTCGTACAAAATGTATAAAACCAAAGATAGAAAAATGAAAGAAATATAACACTCATATGTCTGTTTACCTGCTTAACTTGTCTTTAAGCTATCTACCTACAAACCAACTTCCATCAGATAGAAGTGTTTTTTTCCAGATAACTTACACAAACAATTTTCCAGATTTTAAAAATATATATATATATTTTATATATATATATATTTTAAAAATCTGAAAAAAAAAAAAAATATATATATATATATATATATATATATATATATATATATATATATATATATATATATATATATATATATATATACATATATATATATATATATATATATATATATATATACATATATATATATATATATATATATATATATATATATATATATATATATATATATATATATATATATATATATATATATATATATATATATATATATATATATATATATATATATATATATAAATTAGTAGAAAATCACTTAAATAAATTTTTTTTTATTTTACACTGTGTTTCATCAACAAAGACTCATCAGAAATCTGATGAGTCTTTGTTGATGAAACACAGTGTAAAATGAAAAAAATTTTTGTTAAGTGATTTTCTACTAATTTATAATTGCTCTGTTTTTTTAAGAACATGAGCACTCTATTTTGTAGAATACATTTTTTAAAAAATTGTTTAAATATATATATATATATATATATATATATATATATATATATATATATATATATATATATTTGGTAAAGCAACAGTTAAGCAGCCTAAAATAATTTTATTTTTTCACTTGTTGCGGTCTCGTTAGTGAAGACTTTTTAAAAACTAGGTATATTTATGGGAATAGTAAAAGAAAAAGATTGCTGCACCATACCAAACCCTCAGTCAATGCAGCACACTACCTGTTTAAAAAGTCTTCACTAACAAGAGTGCAACAAGCAAAAAAATAAAATTATTTAAGGCTGCTTAACTATAGCTTTACCTAATTATTTTTATTTATATATTTGTATTTGTGTGTATATGTTTAGATTTAGAAAAATAAAAACTGATGCACTGCCTGCAGTGGTTTTTACCAATACTTTTGTTACCATATCCGTCAAATCCAATTACTAATTCAAATCACTGGATTTTTTTGGTATTATATACTATTAATCTAATGATTGAGAAGAAACCTTGCTACTTATGTTTGGGTATATTTTTATCTGCTTTGATCTTGACATCACTGTAATATTTTCAATGAAACAACTTTTACTATGAGGATAGTTTTCAAAGGTAAGGGCTTACGTTGTTTGGCACATTTTTTTTGTTTTCAGTGTGAGTGTGTTTGCACATGTTTTTAATAAAAATATGCAATCTTTAAAATGCTTTTCTTGATATTGTTTGGTAGGGTATAAATCGTTTGATATAGGTGATGCAATACAAAATAAATGTTCTAGTGCACTATAATATTTAACTTTTACATTTATTTGGCTCAATATCAGACTTTATTAAGAGACAAATTTTTGTCAGCACAAAATTTAGAAACATTGTTCTACAAATCAATGATCTGCAAAGATTTAGCATAAATTTACAAAATAAACAAATGCCGAGTTTGTCTACTTTTTTTAAATGTCGGTACTTGCCTGAAAATTTTATCGGGATTTTAAATGAAACATTAGTTTTGCAAGTTTTATTTTAATCATTTTATTTAGAATTAATATAAAATCCTTTTTCCATTTTATTTTAAATTAAACATTCATTTTTCTATTTTTTATTTACTTGCTGTTTTTTTTCTATTTTAATTTTTAAATTTTATAACAACATTGTTTAAACTTTCCTTTTTTTAAATAAGTACAAGAACTTTTTTTTTTTTTGGTGATAGTAATAAAAATTTAATTAAAATGAATCATGATATAAGAATTCATCAGTAATATTCTGAATTTTTTTGAGCCTCTAAAACAATTTATATGATTATATTGTAATAAAGTGTTTTAAATATTAGGTAATGCTTATGTATATAATATTTTTATGTAGGTTAACAAGAAAACAATGTTTTTAACTTCATGGTTCAGCTTCTTTCGTTTTGTGCTAATGGTTGTTGTTGTATTAGGTCTTGTTGTTCCTTTTTTTATCCAACTTGTTTTGCTTATCCAACCCACTGAACTGAAAGATGATCTGGTTTCTGATTTTAGAAGTATTCAATATATAAATCTATATGAAAAGCAAAAAGAGATCCATTCCATGAAGTTGCAACTTAAAGAGTTAGACAATATTAAATTGAAAACATTAAATTATTTGCGTTTATTGGATGAAAATCGTGTATCTCTTATAGAACAAGTATCTTTGCTTGTAAATCACAAAGATATGTTAGAAAAAGAAGTTAAAAAACTAACAAATCAACTCTCTAGCCGGTCTAAAAAAGAACCTGAAAGTATAAAAATGTCAGAACAAGTAATGACTAAAACTATATATGTTGGGGTTCCATTAAATAGTTATATTGACAGCGATAAGCACCATATGAACAGAAGTAATTGTAATTTAGATAAATGTTTTGATTTTTCTAAATGTTCATATGTTGATAAATTTTCTATTTATTTATATGAACCCAGATATAAGGAACCACTGTACAAGCATTTTATTTCCCTAATAGATTTAGTAAAAGATAATAATTCTTGTATTTACCTTGTGTTTCTTAATATGAATGATTCTGTTAAATCTTTAAATGCTCAGATTGAAGCATTGTCAACTTGGAAAAGTACTGGTGCTAATCATATTCTCTATTTGCAACATTTTAAAAATGAAAACTATTGTAACAAGGTAGATAAACTAAATGTTAAGCAGTCAGTTAAAGTAATGTCTTTTTCGTGTGACAGTGCCATTAATTATTTTGATTTTGTTATTCCTTCAGTGGATTTAAATAGCCTTTCTCAAGTAGCCTTTTCAAATCTTATGCCATTAAATCGAAAGTTTATTTTGTCATTTTACAAACAATCTTATAAAAACAATAAGATTCAAGACCTTATTGTTGATCAAATAAAGCATGAAAGTGATGTTGTTATTATCAATTCTTCTCAAATATCAAAAACATGTTTACATAATTATTGCTCCTTTGACAATCCTTCTGTAATGCAGCTCTTGAAAGATTCGCAGTTTACAATACTTTTGCATTCAAATCGTTACTTTGTTGATGAGTTATGGTATAGTTTATATAATGGAGCTATTCCAGTTGTACTTGGCAACAAAGATTTCTTACCATTTTCAGATGTTCTAGATTGGAAAAAAGCTGCTGTTTTGCTCCCAGTTCAACGTTTAACTGAGCTAATTTTTATTCTGCGAACATTTCATGTGGATGATATATCAGCAATGAAGGCTCATGGTCGCTTTTTATTTGAAACATATTTTTCTGACCATTATAAAGTTCTAAGAACTGTGTTAGAAGTGTTTAAACATCGCATTGGAGTTTTGCCTACACCAGAAAAAGACTTCCAAGTCAAGCAGTTTTTGCACATCGCAAAGCAACCAGATGATACAGTTATAAACTCTGTAAATTTTTTAAAGAATTTTTCATTTCTTAGCAGGTCTTCATATAAATCATGGAACTCATACCCTGGTGGTTTAACATTTTTTCCTGTTACTCCTTGGAGTAATCCTCCACCATCATTGTATCAGTTTTCAAAAGAAGGTCGTGAACATTTTATGCCTATAGCAGATGGGAAAGGTGGAGATGGTGTATCTTTTTCGCGATCATTAGGTGGTGATATGCCATTTGAAATGTTTACTGTGGTAATGCTAACTTATGACAGATACTCTATTTTAATGGAGGCGCTACAAAGATTATCAGGCATGAAGTATTTGCACAAAGTAGTAGTTGTTTGGAACCATCCATCTGATCCCACAGATGATATAGTATGGCCTGATATAGGAGTAAGAGTAGAAGTAAGCCAATTTTAGATTTTTAATATATTAAGTTCAAGTATAGATTTTTTTTTGTACAGAATGAACCATAATAAAGATTTGTATTATTATTATTTTTTGTATTGTTATTTTTATGTTTATTATTGTTATGGTCATTATTTTTATGGTAATAATTGTTTGGTTTTATTATTTTTTTTATGTTTATTATTGTTATGGTTATTATTGTATGGTTTTATTGCTTTATAATTTTTTTTTATTGTTATGGTTATGTATGATCATGTTTGTTTAAATATTGAGAATATTTTAACAAATCGTATTTATGTTTTGTTAAATAAAATATTGCTCATAATATGTTGACATGAAGTTGCTTGCAGTTTTTATCCTATTAATGATTTTTATGAATAACAACATATAATTAGATTTGTTTATAATTAATTACAGGTAATAAGAGCATCTGGAAATAGTTTAAACAATCGGTTTATTCCATATTCAAATATTGAAACTGAAGCTATACTCTCTGTTGATGATGATATATATTTGCGACATGATGAAATTGAATTGGCATTTCGGTAATAGTTTAAATATCAAGGATTTTTTTTTTAGTTCAAAACAATTTGTTAATACAGTATGTAAAAATAATAATTGTACACTTTAAAAAAAATAATTTTAAAGATTGCATCAAAAAAATAAATTGTCTGTTAAAATATTTGAAATTTTTAGATATCTTATCAAGATATTGTTTTAAGAATCTATTTGTGTATTGGTGAATTAATTACTTTTCAAACCAATTGAATTTTGCACAATTGATTTAAAGATGAATAAAATTGACTGCAAATAAAAATAATAATAGATAACAAAATAGGTAATTGTTTTAACATAATTTGAGCAATTAGAACAATTAAACTAGTTAATAAAATTAAAAATTGTAACTTTTTTAATACACTTTGGTCCTTGAAATAAAATAAAATGTATTTCAGATAAAAGGCATCAAGAAAACAACATTTGTCATTCCATCAACGAAGCCTCATAGTTGATTTTTAAAATTAAGGAAAATGCAACTGTCAGATACAAAAAGAAACAAGAATTGCTTATAATCAGTGACCTCAATAATCTGATTGGAACCGTTGCAAGTAGTGGTCGCAATATCATCATTAATGTGAATAAATTTTTTTCGGAAGCTAAACTAGCTTTGAAAGTTCAAAAAGATCATAACATCACAGTGACTCCGCAAACAATCAGAAATTGTATTAGAGTAGTTCAAAAAAAACCTCTTTTAGCTGCAAAACAAATGAAATATCGATTAGAGTTTGCAAAGAAGTACAAAAAAATGCTGATATCATATTGAAAAAATTTTTTTTAGTCAGATGAGTCAAAATACAAATTTGTCTCATCATATTATAAATTGAGTTGCTTGTGAGATAGTGTAAAGCATGGAGGAAGAGATGTAATGATTTGGGTTAGTATGAGTAAGAAAGGAATGGAGAAACTGACATTTATTGATGACAAAATTTTGTCAAATTCACAAAACCAACAAAAAAGGTTTCATAACCCAGCAGGGTAACAATCCAAAACATACTGCAAAAGTGCAAAAGCGCTCTTCAAACAAAAAGTAAAATGAGAAAATTTAAAAAAAAAAAAAAAATGTGCAAAATTTTATTTATAATGAATGCATTTGCTTTAAACTTAATGTAAAAGCTAATTACTTAAAAGAAACCATGCTTAAACATGATCATTTTCTTCAATAAAAGAAAGCAATCATAATGTTTAACCACAGTTTCTTTTGAAGTTTTTGCAAAAGCATTTATTTTAAGTAAAATTTTGCATGCATTTGTAAGGGCATGCTAAAACCATGCTAAAACATTATTAATTTCTTCAATAGCGTACTTAGTTATTTTACTTAAGTGTAACACAATTGAAAAAAGTTATTATGTTTTGGCATGGTTTTTTAATGTCTCTAAAATTAATTGTTTTTTATTTTTTTTTGTTTTTTATAAAAAACTATCAATGACAAGGTTATTAAAAAAAAAATTGCTGAAAATTTTTATTTTGAAAAATATTAATCAAACATTGTTTGCATAAGGAATTTGCATAAGGATTTGCATACGGTCCATAAATTATGCAACGCAAAATATATTTAAAAAACAGTAGCTGGAGATATTAAGCTCTTTTATGCTGCGATTTTCTTTAAACTTAATGTGTTAATTTAACTTTTTATTGAATTAAGACTCTGCGAGGAAAAACTTTTGATCTTTTTTGTTTTGTTTATTGTAATTTATGGACAAACCCTAAGCTAAATTAAAGAAATGTGATGTTTGTTTTTCTGTCTGTTTTTTAACAAATGTGCGCATGTTTTTCGATTTGTTGTACCCTGTATCCTATTAACTTTTTAATGAAATTTAAAATTTGTACCTCAAAAATTTATTGAACTTCATGGCAGTTTTAAACAGCCTAATTTACTTTCATTTTTAAACATCGTGCTGTGTTAATTATATCGATTTCTAAAAAATAAATACAAAATCTAAGAAAGAGGGGGGAGGAGGGGGTAGATACCCTCATGGCCCTTCCCCTCACTTTGAATCCGCCTTTGTATTAGCCTACTTATTCATGGGAGGGAATGATTGATAGAGCTGTGTTTAAATTTTTTTATTTATAATTAAGTTTACATTAAATAATAAATGTTTTAATTTTTTTAGGTTTTTCTACTATTTATTTTTTTTAAGTATATGAATATTTTTTTGGCATAATGTAAATTATATTTTTCATTAAAGAGTTTGGAGGGAAAATCGTAATCGTTTAGTTGGATTTCCTGGCCGACACCATTCATACAATGCTACTAAAGATTCATTTGATTACAACTCCGAACACTCATGTGAATTATCTCTAGTTTTAACAGGAGGAGCATTTTTTCATAAAGTATGTTTTTTATTTTTATTCTTAATTTAATGATGATGATGATGATGATGATGATGATGATGATGATGATGATGATGATGATGATGATGATGATGATGATGATGATGTGATGATGACGATGATGATGATGATGATGTCACAATATTTAAACCACTTTAAACAGTTATAAAAAACTATTTAATATATTTAATCATGCTGACGATAAAACATGTTTTAATTTTAAAGTTTTGTTTTTTATTATTGTAAAAGCTATTTAAAACAACAATAAAGCTATACTGCAAAGTTGTTTTGTCAATATAAAAAGATTTTATACAATATAAAACAACTTCACTACATTGTTTTATACAATTTATTACATTAAAAACATAACACACATTTAAAATAAAACCAAGTAAATAAATAGAATTATTTAAATTAATAAATTAAATTTGATGAAAATATTATCTTCAAAAAAATTTAAAATTAATATTTGTGCAAAAACATGCTCTACTGACTCGTTTGGTCTATCTATATAAAAACAACTTGCGTATTTACAGGAAAAGTTACATCTTGATATTGCTATAAAGAAAATGTAAATATTAAAAATTGGTATTGCGTTTTTTATTCTATTCAAAATTTCTTGTTAAAATAATTTTTAGTTAGAATCTTATTATGCGTTAACAGCATATATGATACATTTACTTTGATTTACTTTATCCATTAAGTAAATCACTTTAAATTTAACTTTTAAATAGCAGTCGGATATTATTGGCTTCCATGCAGATAAAAATTAATTTTCAAGATTAATTAAAATTCAAATGCGCTTTATGTTGAATAAATAACTCCACGTAAAAGAGTAAATGATCATACTTCTATTTTAAGTTTATAATTAACGTGATGTATCGGATGGCCCCTAATAGTTGTATATGGATGTAATGGATGACCCCTAATAAAAACCTCAGACAAAAATAATTTAGACTTTTATTAAAAGTTCATTTTTAATTTAACATTTTATTTGGAATGGTAAAATAAATGTTAAATTAGAAAAGGAAAAAAAATTACAAAAATGTGCAAAAAAAGGTTCAAAAGGCAATCACAATTGAGACACATTTAGTTTAAGTCCTGAATGAGAAAAGAAATAGTATAATAAAATTCACCATTAATTAGGTCAAGTTCTTATAGAGAGGTGGGGTGGGGGAAGAGGTTAATGGTTTTGTAGCGACTTATCTCTAGTTTTAACAGAAGGAGTATATTTTTTTTATTTTTATTCTTAATTTAATGATTATCACAAGTCTCTGATTATTTGAGGTGTAAAAATAGGCTGATGTTTTAAAATAGACTGATCTTTTAAAATAACTTATATTTATTGCTTTTATTCAGTGGACTAAAAATGGTTTCGTAGCCACTTGTTGGTATGTTTAAGAATTTTTAACTAAACTCAAAAACTTTTCTCTAACCCTTATTTTGTTTTAGCATTGTAGTAGATGTTTTATGTATTTTATTTTAGTTTCAGTCGGTTTTATAGTTAGAAAACTACTGAGAAAGTTATATTATGTTTTTCAAGTAGTGTTCAATATTAGTTTACATTTACTATTATGTGTAATAATTACTTTTTGTACTCTCTGGATTTACTAATTTTTAAACAACTTGTATACAGAATCAAAAATTCTCTAGGGTGTAATTAAATATGTATGGCCTAACTTATATAACAGCATCAATACCTTTAACAATATTTTAAAAATCATTACTTGTATCTCAGCAATATTTCCCCATTATTTTATAAGCTCTTTATTTCCGATTGCTTATTTGCTAGTGCACAAAATAATGGACAGTCAACAGTCAATAACTGACCCAATAATATCAAAATTGCTTTTGACCTCACAAAATGAGTTCTTGTCAGTCAAGGTTGATTGGTTAAAAAAATCTGAATTTTAAAATATAAATTTTTACAACATAATATCTTTATAAGAAAATATTAAGAATACTTTTACAAAATATTTATAACATTTAAAATATTTTTTAAGACTAAAATATTTTGAAAAAGCTTCTAAAGTATTTTTATTGATAATGATAAGCTATTTTTAAATTACTTCATTGACGAATATTATATATGATGTAGGCTTGATAGAGGATGTACAAGAGGTCCTAGTAGTTCCTGTGGTACGGTTACGAGTGCACTAGACTTAAACTCCAAAAAATTACCAATTTTAAAGTTTAAAGCTCTGCTAGGAAAAGTGGTTAAGGTAAATGATAAGGTTAAGAACAATTTAAATACAGATCAGAAATATCTTTTTAGAGCATGCTTAGCAGTACAGCAAGGTTATATAGATAGTAATGAAATCCGGTTTTTACAGAACACAATGCCTAGAAATTAAGACCATGCTAGGTGGCTGACAAAAGCAAACAGAATTTTGAAATTATATATGTCAAAAGAGGTCTGTTCCCCATTACTCTACAAAATAGAACACTTATTGTAAATGTTTGCGCTCCTTCATGGTTTAACATCAAGAGTCATTCTACTTGTGTTGATGGTGCAAAGATCCTTTTTTATTTGATCATGAGTTTGGAGCAGAAGCTTAGAAAATATTGTAACATGTGTTGCAAAACAACAACTACTTTGCCCACTCTGAATATATTCTTCTTTCTGGAGTTTGTGACAATCATGATTCTGTGCGACATTTCTGTTGTGACAAAATTATTAATTTGAGAAGTAATTTATGTAGTTCTTGTTTCCATGTTTTTGATAAGTCAAGCATCAAGCTTAACGGCAATGCTTTGACTTTTGTTGATATGATTGACTTGATCTCATACTATCACCATTGTTAGCAGCTATTGAGAATGAAAATCTTCAACACTGTCAGTTTGAGTTCATTTTTGGTATACCCTGTCACTCTCAGGCAGTTAAGCGTGCTATTAAAGATATCTCTGCACAAGCTAGACTATTTTTGAACATGAGTTGCGACATAGAATGATTTTACTGTGTGCTGCATCCAGAACAGATTTACCTAGTGTTAGCTGTAAATCAGACTTATTGTAAATTATGTTTTGTTATATTGTTTCATTAAACTTATAATATCTAGAACTTTAACATTAATGTTCATTTTAAGCTTCAGATGAAAGCCTGACGAATATTATATATGACGTAGGCTTGATAGAGGATATACAAGAAGTCCTAGTAGTTCCAGTGGTATGGTTATGAGTGCGCTAGACTTAGACTCCAAAAACTATGCATGAGGTTTTTTTAGATTTTTTTCTGTAAATTAACATGCTTATGACTAACACCCAAAAAAAACACCTTCTCTTGCTGGCTCTGGATATGGCCTTTGTATCATAGTCAGTGCTTGATGAATTTCTAATATTTTTAGCTGTAAGCCTTTTAAAGATAAATATTTGCAGGAAAGTTGCAAGTTCAAGACACTTGTTGTTTTAATGTTTTTTGACTTTTTTACAATAAGTAGCACCTAAAGCAACTTTCTAGATCATAGCCGGTTAAGCAGCTAAGAAAAAAAATTTATGAGTCATCCTATTGTATATATAATCCTGCATGGTAGTCAAAAAGTTTCTTCCATAAACTGCATTATTAAATCAAATTCTAATAAACCAGACTATCAAAAGTCTAATAACTTGAAAAAAGTTTTTTTTAATGATAGATTGCTTACCCAAATCAAACCCTCATTTGATATAGCCTTCCTTGTAGCAGCAGGTTATAAGATAGTCTATGTAGCAACACTTTGCGCATGTTTTACAGTAAAAAAAGTAGCACTGATGGTTAGCGGCAGCACTAAGATCAATATTAAAATATTATATTTAACTTTTTTTTTTACTGTTTATATACATCGACTGATAAATAGGTGGAACATGCTAGGAGTACTGCTACATTGAGTGACAAATAGGTAGAATATGTGAGGGGTGTGCTACATCAACTGGCAAATAGGTAGAACATATGAAGAGTGTTGCTACATTGACTGAGGATATATATACATAATACATATATATATATATATATATATATATATATATATATATATATATATATATATATATATATATATATATATATACATACATACATACATATATATATTTATATATATGTGTGTGTATATATATATATATATATATATATATATATATATATATATATATATATATATATATATATATATATATATATATATATATATATATATATTAAAAGCGAAAAAGAAAAAACTTTTATTATGGAACTTTAATTTTCATGCC